GATAAGTTAAAAACGTGGGAATACATAAATATATACATATGTACATATGTATGCATATGAGAGAATATTTTTTGGAAGCGCGTGAATTTGGTTTATGGTAAGAGGAGCGTTATAACTTGTAAGGTTAGAAGTATAAAAACGCAATATACATTAAATTTATACCAAAAACATATTATAAATAAGAATGCTACTTTACTTTTGTGGCTAGCAGAATATTTGCATTACATTTTGCCAAGTGGCAACGTTTATTCAGCTATTGGATGTTATTTTGAACGTTTTCGCTTGCCGCTGCTTTACTTGTTTTCAGTTGCGTTTTGGGTTTTTTTTTATTTCTTTGCTATCCTTTTAGCATCCTTTTCATTTTCTAAACTTTGCGTGTGGAGGAAGTCCTTTTTATACCCTTGCAGAGGGTATCATAATTTGTTCATAAAGCATAGTATTGAGTTGACGAAAATCCGCTGTTGAAATTCTGATAGCGATTTTGCACTTTATTCGGCTGCCGAGGTAGTGTGACCAAAAAAATGAAGAAATAAGGTAATACTGAACAGCTGTTGTTTGTAAACAAAAAACCAATAAGCAAAAATGAATTCAAATCAATTGGATGTTGGTGTTTTGTTTATGTATTTTGCCGCTAAGGAGCTGATTAAGAAAATCAATCACAAATCATTTTAATGTCATTTTATTGAATTAAAATGCCCCTTGTGGGTCAAATCCCATATTATGGGCTTCGTCTTGACCGCAGAAATTAATTTTAATTTGTCCTGGCGCGTCGAAAATTTTTCGGGCCGACTATTTTTTTTTTTGGTCAATTGACCCTCCATGTCACACCTATAAAAATAAATTGAAATATTTATTTTAATACCCCGAGAGCAGCTGTTTATTTTTTTTGATCCGGCAACACCATTAAAATCGATAACAAAAATTTTCGTCAACTCAGTACCCGCAAAATCTAGAAGGCAAAAATTTCTTCTTCTTTCCTTTTTTACACCGTTTTTTTTATATGGAGTTAGACAGCTGTCACTCGTTGGACAGCGGATTTTCGTCAACTCAGTACTATGCTAGTACTACGCGTCTGTCTGTTTCTATGGGAAATAGTCTCTCAGTTGTTAAGCACACACCCTGATTTTGATTGCACGCTGTTTATAAGTCCGACTATATCGTATAGCTTTCATATAACCGATTGATCGGAAATTCCATAACATTGGAGTATTTAGAGTAAGAATGCTGGGATTTGGATTGTGGAGCACGTTGCAAATGCACGTTGCACATTTTTTCCCCCACCTCTGCAGCGATTTTTGGAGCCGATAGCTTTGGGTTTTCTTTTACTTTTCGCACTATACGGCGATCCTCGTGATCGTCGAAAATTTTGTTGGGCGCAACTCGGCCCTTGTGTGCCACACGATTTTCCCGTACAAATCTTTCAATAATTTGTACACCATGCTAGGGCTTAAGCACACCATTTCGTCTATGGCGCGCTGGGTCTTGCCATCCTTAAAATGTTTCAGGACTAATTTGTATATTGGTACATTTTTGTTTGTCTTATTAGTTAATAAAGAGTTAATTAAAGTGCTTCGTTAAAATGTTTTTAATATCTTTTCTAGTTTGGCAACAATTTCGATTTGGAATTTTATTTCTTGCACGAAATAAGCTTCAAGCCAATTTATGTGTTGTATTTTTTTGCAAAATAATACAACATACAAATTTTTAGAAGCATTGGGCGACTAAATCGGCCAATTTTTGAAGATAGAAGACTGAGACGTTGATTAAATGTTGTTCTCCAAGAAATTAGTTTTATTATGAAATTCTCATTAGGAGAAGGATCATAAGGCCAACTATATCCGATATTTGCGATATACATATATCCGATGTTAACTGCAAGGGTATATCAACTTTGGCTCCTTCCGAAGTTAGATTTCGTTTTTTGTTCTATATTGTACATATACTAGTGCCATTCTACTACTATTTCTGTGTTTTTTTTGTGCACTTTCGTGGCGAGTTAACTTTGCATTTCCGCTCATTTAGCTGCACTTTTCAGCCTTGGTGGCAGCCCGGGGCCGGCTCAAAGTGCCGTGAAGTTGTTTTTCTCGGAAGTTCATTTGGTAAATAGCAACCGAAGCAAAAATGGAATGATTGTCCGAAGAATAGCAGGCGGGTCGTATGGAATGCCAGTTGAAGCTGGATGGGTTTATTAGTTCTAATTCACAACTCTCTTTTAGATCTAGCATAAGAACTAGTCATCTATAAATGAAGTGTTATTTATAACATTTATTTTTCTAACAAAATAATACCATCTGAAATCAAATAGAGTACGGGAAGCGCAAGCGTCCAGACTATTTTTCATCAGATGGTGTAAGTAAGCCGGTTTCAGGATTGTGTTCCTACTTTATTCCACGATTCGCCAAAATCGCTCGCTGTAGAGACCCCGAAGCTCCGTCACTTTTTATGCTTTAACTTGATATGGAGTTGTTACAAAATTCTTTGATGATATGGAAAATTCTTGAAATTAATGGTATATAGCGCGGACTTGAGGTCGAAGCTATTATGGGCGTGGTACAAAACGCAAGCAACGATTCATTCCTCTTTATAAAATTTAAGGATGAGGATGGACCAGAGTTGGTTCCCCTGGACGTGGTCCTGGTACAAATTTTGCATCTACTACCCAAGTTCTATAAAGAATATGCCCTTGACTTCGAGAAGCCCATATAACCGCAGAATTACTCCTGTAAAACATTTCAGTCGTGCCCCAAAAACATAAAAAAAGACATTCTGCCTTGGCACAGAATCCTTTATGAAGGGTCGCGTTGTCTTAAATAATTTCATGCCTCTTTTCCTTGTATAGCTTGCCAAATTTCACACCTCAGCCGTCAAAAGTTGAGACGGACGTGCGTGCCTGAAGTTTCTTTTGCATGCAAATAAAGGATACAGAAGGATACCCAAGGTGCGCCACCAGGGAAGTAGGTTCCTTTTTTTCGCAATGACCAGAGAATCCTTTGAATAAAATTCGTTCAATAAAATTTGATTCCAGTATAAATTACGTTTCCTAGAATTGCGTCTGGCTTAAGCATTAATATTTAAAACAATGTATTTAGTGGATAAAACTTTTCAACTTTAAACACTTACCTTTTAAAACCATGATATCGGATAAAATCTTATAACACAACCTCGGTCCCGAAGAAGTACCTTCAAGTTGCAAGGACTTTAGGAAACTGTTTCATCCGAGTATCCATAAGTTCGAATTTAAAATTCGCACTTCTGGATGAAAGCGCGAACGTGCATATAAAATGATGTGCATGCAAGCAATTCGATTATTTAATATCTGAGCTCGCCGCCAAATGGAAATTATATTTGGATTCAGCAGTAAGAATGCATTTGGCCTGACAGTGCATTGGGCCCTCAAAATAAAGTTTATGCCATCCCTACAGCTGTGTATCTGCATCTGCATATTACAAGTTTGCCAGTGCCTCGTTTATTTGTATAACTTATGCTGCACGTGCCATCGCCCCCATCTGCACCTAAGACACAGCATGACATTGCACTTAGTTTTGCTTTTCGCCGACTCCCACAAACTTTACCCTCCCTTCTTCTCCGGTCTCTCTGGCGTCTCTGTCTTCTTAGTGCCAGAAACCAGCTGTTGACTTTTATTGTGGCTTGACATTAATTTGTTAAGTGCGCCACGGATTGTGCCTCCGCACCGGACATGCAGTAAGCCCGTAAAAGTAGAACTAATATGTAAGGTGAAAAATGGCTACATGTTTGTAATTCGTTTTTCCTAAATAAATTTAAACCAAGTTAATTCACTCTTTTATTAAAAAAAATTTTATTTTTTGAAATGTATCTCTTTTGAATAGTGAATTAAAAGTGAATCTTTTTGTATTTTTTTATTTTTATACATTTTTTATATTACTTTCAAAACTTTACCCAACCCAGATTTGTCTAAATCGGAATTGAAATCAAAGCTAGAGTCGCGATCAGTGGCATCGTTGCTTTTAATTATGCCCAATGCACTGTGAAAATGCTTAAAAATTCAAATTATGTTCCGCAAAATGCATCGCATGCAAAATGCGTCCCCATAATTTATGTACCACATGGCCGCCACCGTCTCTGGTACGCCTCCTGCCACACGCCCGCCTTTATTTTCTGCATCACTTCCGATTCACGAACGGCTGGCGTATGGCATCCCATTATAATGTTGAACATTTGGTTTGATGTCACCGAGGACCCGATTTCGACTCTTGATACAAGCTGGTGATATGCAAGCGTACGGCAATAAATGCCCTCCGATTGGCTAGGGTGAGTGTTTTAAACCGTTTAAAATGATCAATAGATATTTATTCTTCGTTGTTTTTTAATTTGAATTTCATAGAACGTTCGTAGCTTTATATTTTAATTGAATAGTCATAATGTATAATTTCAAATGAGTAAATGTGAGTCCAGTCGCTGGAAGATAGCAAAGATAAAATTAACATGAAATCAAACAAATTAAATTATAAAAAAAATCGTCCCAGTTTTAAAACTTAAGCGACGAGTAATTGTTTTCGCTCTGAATCTATAATTTGCTAATCATCCCGATTCACGGTCTCATCTCCACAATCACTATCACACTTTCAATCACACTTCTCGTTGTCGCACACACATATTTGTTTAATTAGCCCGTATTAATGTTGTTGCAAGAACAAACAGAGGTGGAACCCCATTATGAGTAAATTCCAAAGAGCCATTGTTGGGGGTTGTTGTGGTCGGGTCGCCCACTAAACACACGAGACTCGAATGCCAAAGTCCTGCATCAAAGCCAAACCCCCTCGGCTTGCTCCACTGTGAAACTTCATTTGGCACCGCTGACCCAGAATTCGATTTTATTTTCATCATTTATTGATTCAGAAGCCATTGCCCAATCTACAAAATAGATCAAATTGTGGCGTTTATAATATTAGTCAACGTCGTCATATTACTGGTATTGGTTATTTTGAGACGGGTATTATAGAATGTTGGATTTTAAAAAAGGAAGCCAGCCTTGAGATATCTGACACACATACAAACACTCATAGTCTTTATAAGGGCCCGTTCAAAATATGGCCTGCAAAAAAAAGACCAAGTTGTGGGAGCCCATGCTCATGGGGAAGGACGACATGAAGACCACTACTCAAAGGATGTATGAGGAAGGAGCCAAGGGCCTTAGATCGATTTCGACCCAGGAAAAGAAGCTGGTCAACTTTCAATCGTTTAACATGGATAAGTAAGAAAATATAAGGAACTTCAGGCTGTCATTCGCGTGTCTGTTCCGATAACAATCGGCTGTTTATTGGTTTTTTAGCTTCGGTTGTTTTTTAATTTAGTTCCCGGTTTAGCAGCGCAAGCGAAGATGATCATATTGAGACCCCGATGTTGTCCAGTTATACTCGGCAGTATTCACGACCATACCCTCCCAGGTGCAAGCCTTTAACTCCAAAAACCGAGTCACCCGATCCTCTATTTAATCGTCGACCAAAAAATGATTTCCAATTTGAGACAGGATTGGCCTTCAAATTCCTGGACGATCACATGCACAACATTTCTGAGACGCGCAAAAAAGTTAACTTCTTCCGACAATTAAGGTAACAATTCAGGGTTAATTATAATTCGCGAGTCGCAATTGGTAATTTTTTCTTCCATAGAAACCAATCTTTTCTTCTGTATTAACATGTTACTTGAAGTTGCGAATGCAAATTAAAATACATTGGCTCAATCAAGCAAAGTACCTCTCCTCTTTATAATTGGTAGACAATTTGTAGCAATTTGGCTTAATCAGTAGTCACGCTACGTGGTTCTCTTACGGACCACAATTATAAATTACCCTTCATTATGTCGCTGTCACGAGGATATTGTGTCAATTGCCTTTTCTGTTAGCTCTTCGTTTTCAATAGAAATCAATTAATTTTGCATAAATAACACGCTTTCCCGCTTGCCGGACTGCCCAGAAAAGAACAAAGCATGAAACCCAGCCCCTCGAAGTCGAGCATGTGCATGACTATTATTATACCCTTGCAGAGGGTATTATAATTTTGGTCAAAAGTGTGCAACGCAGGGAAGGAGAAAACTGCGACCCTATAAAGTGTAGTATATATTCTTCATCAGGATCAACTCCTGAGTTGATATAAGCATGTCCGTCAGTCTGTCTGCCTGTTTCCACAGAAGCAGTCTCTCAAATTTAAAGCTATCGACTTGAACACAACCTTCTATCCTTTGCACGCAGTATATAAGTCGGAACGGCCGATTATATATTATAGCTGCCATATAACTGAACGATCGGAAATGGTTTTTGGTAAATATACCAACTTTGGTATGTTTGAAGATAGAAGTTTAGGACTTTTTTTAGATTTTGAATTGTAATAAATTGGATTATACATTCATATTCCCATAAGGATCGGCCAACTATATCCGTACTTGCGATATATGTGTATCCGGTTTTAACTGCAAGGGTATATAAGCTTTCCTTGTTTTTTATTATGAAATTCTAAAAAAAAGGCCAACTATATTCTTTATTTTCCGATATCCGATTTTAACTGAAAGGGCATATCAACTTCGGCTCCGCCCGAAGCTAGCTTTCCTTTCTTGTTCGCTTTAAAGCTGTGGGAAATTTTTCTTGGAAAAATGGCAAACAAACTGCAATTAATAATTCAGAAAGCGCCGAGGCAAGTCCGATACTCCGATACTCTCCTCTGGCAGTGCTGCCAATTTGCATAAATGCTAGAAGAGCTCGCCGGGAATTGCCATTCCGCAGGGCTGGGGTGGTGTCAAGCTAATGGCAGACTATGACAGCGATCTGATTTATTATGTACGGTAATTAGTTTGGCCTCCTTAACGGGCCAAATGGAAGCCAATAAACCAAGCTGACATGGCGTTGCATTGATTTGCCCGTTGCCCGGGGAAAGCGAGGAATGGAATGGATTTCATTCATTTCGCAGTTTCTGTTGTAACCGCAATGAAGTAACCAAAAACAAAACACTCTTTGGAAGACACTCTTTGCGCCAGAAAGGCGCCCGCGGTGCAGTTGCATCTTGATGGGGCTATTGTTGGTCCACTGGTTGGACTCGTTCTGCAACTGTGCAGCTATTCATCCCAGTTCTCTAGTTAAATGGAAACTAGCTTCAACAGGTTAAATTGCGATTTTTTTTAACGAAACGTGAATGAAAATTTAAAAAAAAAAACCTTTGAATTTAGAATATTTTTAAATTTGATGATATTTGTTTGAACTTCAATAGGTTTTAGATTATGAATTTGTATATACTTTACTTGTATGTACTTTACTTTACAAATAAGACAAATCTCCACGCATAATTTCACCTGCTCCACAAAAATATTTTTCACTCAAAAATTGAAAAACATTGGCTTTGAAAATACTAAAATATTATTAAAAAAATATATTTAAAATAAATATTAAAATAAAAAATATTAAGATGTTAAATATAGACAAGAGAAGAAGTTGATTAATAAAATTGTTTTTAGTATACATATTTATATCATTTTTGAAAGCCATGAGTTTAAAAATTGCAATTTATTTGAGCGAAATATTGTTGTGGTACGTTGAAAAAATGATAGAAAATGTACCAAAAACAATAATGGTCAACGCTATAACCCAGCCTACATAATTTAATATATGGATGTTTGTTCTGGACTTTTGGTCAGAGGGGCCTAAAGGTTAAAGCAGGAGAATTGATACATGGAGGAATTATATGTGGAGGAAACAAAAACAAAAAAGAGGCGATCCTGATCAAAAATGTATACACTTCATAGTGACGGAGTAGTCTCCTTCACTGCGTTGCACAATTATGATCAAAATTAAAATACCCTCTGCCAGTTCATAAAGACCGGCTGTCTTTCAATTATATATGCCGAAACCCTTTTTATACCCTTGCAGAGGGTATTAAAATTTTGTCCAAAAGTGTGCAACGCAGTGAAGGAGACATCTCCGACCTTGTAAAGTATATATATTCTTGATCAGGATCACCTCCTGAGTTGATATGAGCATGTCCGTCTGTCCGTCTGTCTGTCTGTTTCTACGCGAACTAGTCTCTCAGTTTTAAAGCTATCGACTTGAAACTTTGCACACACCCTTCTTTCCTTTGCACGCAGTATATAAGTCGGAACGACCGGGATCGGCCGACTATATCCTACAGCTGCCATTTAACTGATTGATCGGAAATGATATAACTTTGATGTTTTTCGATTTAGAGAGTTAAATTTAATTAAATTAAATTAAATTAAATTAAATATTACATGAGAGCTATTTTTGGTCAATTAATCCGACCAATTGAATTTCATAACAATCGGTCGACTATATCTTATAGCTGCCATATAACTGAACGATCGGAAATGGTATTTGGTAGAAATATCAACTTTCGTATTTTTGAAAATAGAAGCTTGGATTTTTTTCAGATTTTTTATTGTAATTAATTGGTTTTATTATGATGTAATAATAAGGATCGGCCAACTATATCCGATATATATCCGGCTTTAACTGCAAGGGTATATCAAATTCGGCTCCGCCCGAAGTTAGCTTTCCTTTCTTGTTATACCCTTGCAGAGGGTATTATAATTTTGTCCAAAAGTGTGCAACGCAGTGAAGGAGACATCTCCGACCCTATAAAGTATATATATTCTTGATCAGGATCACCTCCTGAGTTGATATGAGCATGTCCGTCTGTCCGTCTGTCCGTCTGTCCGTCTGTCTGTTTCTACGCAAACTAGTCTCTCAGTTTTAAAGCTATCGACTTGAAACTTTGCACACACCCTTCTTTCCTTTGCACGCAGTATATAAGTCGGAACGGCCCGGATCGGCCGACTATATCCTATAGCTGCCATATAACTGATAGATCGGAAATGGTATAACTTTGGTGTTTTTAGAGTTAGAGGGCTAAAAATTGACATGAGAGCTATTTTTGGCAAAATAATATGACATGCCAAATTTCATATGGATCGGCCGACTATATCTTATAGCTGCCATATAACTGAACGATCGGAAATGACCCAACTTTCGTGTTTTTGAAGATAGAAAGCTAGAACTTGGTACACATTCTATTTTTGGTCAGTTAATCCGACCTACAAAATTTCATTAGGATCGGCCGACTATATCCTATAGCTGCCATATAACTGAACGATCGGAAATGGTATTTGGTAGAAATATCAACTTTTGTATTTTTGAAGATAGAAGCTTGGGACTTTTTTTCGATTTTTTATTGTAATTGATTGGTTTTATTATGATGTAATCATAAGGATTGGCCAACTATATCCGATGTTTGCAATATATATCCGGTTTTAGCTGCAAGGGTATATCAACTTCGGCTCCGCCCGAAGTTAGCTTTGCTTTCTTGTTTTATATTTAAACTGGTCTATAAAATAGATTGGTTTGGCTTTATGAAAAAACAGTTTTGAAAACTTCTATAAATCATTGGCCGGGACAGAAATATGGGACATATGGGACCTAATGTTCTACTTTACTCTTCAAAGGTTTTCGTATCCTGCAACTTTCTTCTGTTCTTAGGCATGGTAAGAAATAACCCCGGTAAAATCCATAAAAAAAAATTTTCTTAATCTACTATAATTTCATTAAATCGAATTGGAAAAATTTTTCATTTCAAATATAGGAAGCCTCTGTTTAAATAAATAACATAAACAATACATACATTGTCATACATCATTCCAAGGGAATTTTTTGTTTTTTTTAATGGGACGGGTATAAGGCCAGAGGACCGACGGGTAAGCTTTGAAGCTTGACCTATCCAAACGATAGAGCTGCTGTGGAGTAATATGTAAACATAATAATGATTATCTATATATCATATACATATATATCATAATTAAATCATCACAGATTGACATTAAAACGAGTATTAAATAAAAATGACTGCCTAGATGGGGTGTAGATTCTAGAATCAATCCATTTGACTGATTTGGGATTGCTTATCTATTGGCTTGTTGGCAAGAAAAACCGTTGGTGTCGTCGTTAGCTCGAAATTGTGGCACGTTTCTGCCAGACGCCTGCCCACATTTGTCGGCCGAAAAACGAGACAGCCAGCAACCCTACGCCAACAGGCGTAGGCCAGAGGGGTGTGGGGGTGGTACTACAGCTACAGTCTGGAGGCCGATAAGAATTGTCCTGAGCACACTCACGCACTCTCACAGGAACTGATAAGAAACGTGTGGTGAAGTACAGGCTCTTTGAAAGTTTCACCAACACACCATACACCAACAAATGCCGGCTCTGTTCTGCGTCTGCGTTGCTTTTCCTCAGCCACTCTCTCTCAATTCGTGCTTCGTATCGCCTTTCGGCTTTGATTCGAGATAAAACTTCGGCCCGCGACGGAAACCAGATCGGGTCACTTTCTGGAGGAACTGGCGGCTGCCAGTTAGTTCACTCGGGAGCGCAGCGTTGTTCGTTTTGCGGCGGGCCAACCGTGCGGATACTCGACAAGCTGCCAACTGAAACTGCATGTTAACATCTTAGGTGGTGAGACGAAGCGAGTGCAAAATGCGTGAGTCACAGCCGTTCGGACTGTGATAGTGACGGTGATATTCCTCAGATCGGGCTAGCAGTGCTAACAAAACAGAGTGTCAAGTACAGCCTCCACACAAGACGCAAAACCAAAAGCAAACCCCCAAAAAAACCATCATGCGAGCTGGCATGTGTGAGAGCATGTGTAATTAATTTTTGGCATTTAAATTGGCCCGACATCAAGGCCCGGCTTTAAATCAATTTGACAAATTTGCATTTTTCTGGTGGACGAAAAATAAAGGAGAGGCCGGCAAAGGCAATTTTATGTACAAATAACAAATTGATGTGTCGCCTGAAAAAGGACCCAGAAACAAAAAAAAAAAAAACACCAGCAATCGGAAGTGTCGGGCTGGGAGGTGGGAAGACTGTTCAAATGTCTCTATGCTGGCTTCATTGTGCGTATCGTTTGATGGAAGCTTAAAATCGTGCGTCTGATAGGAAGCAATGTGTTCGGCTCCGCGGAGTAGGTGGATATTGGAGGTCGCCTTTGGGATTAGTTTTTGGAGATGTTCAGGGTATCTATTGATGATAGCGTAATTTCTACTATTGGCCTCCATAGTCAGTGAATGTCACGTATGAATGGAAAAAGGGTTGCTGCTTTGATTGATCAGATAATTTTTGAAATTTTTTTTTTTTTTACCAATTGTTTTAGAAACCTTAATGTTGAAATGCATTTTCCCGCTCGTTTTCCGGTCCTGCGTTATTGTGGGCCAAAAAATCTTGTGGTGCATTACAATTTACTGCTGCAGCTGAAAACAGCAAATGAAAAAATGGGAAAGGATCCTTTCTAATAATAATTTGAACAAAAAAGAAACAAGTCAAAGGAAAATGTCTAAAACGTGTCTCGTATGAAATTTTTTAAAACACAGACTAATAAATTCTACAAATGTGGGTAAGGACAATGGGCCATTGGAAGGAGAAAAAAGTCCGGAGTCAAAGACAATGGTTTAAGCCGTGGGATTCTTTGCAATCGCAAGGTGTCGACAGCGCCCCCGGAATTCGCACTTGTGCTGCTTTAATATAGTTGCTTTTTTTCATAAATTAACAATTCTGTTATTCCCCATTTATAACAATAAGAGATGGCTGTCGACGAACTCACGAATGCTCATGTGTTCCATACCATGACATGAAAAAAAAAAAAATTAATTTCATAGCATAACTCATGGCGCTCAGGGGAGAAGCTAAGGTGGGAATGTGGCAACGGGGGAACAGGAAGGGGCTCCTGCCTGCAATTCTACAAGGTCATAAATCTTTCGGCATATGGGCTGCCATTCCCGTCATCATCAGTAGCTAAAAAGAAATAAATTCCGCAACCAAAAAAAAAATTTCAATTTTGTATTGTTTTTCCTTTTTATTTTCCAAATGCCCATCAAAAATTTATCGGAAACAGGAGCAACATTGGCCCGCAACCAGCAGATACATTTGTTTACATTTGCCAAAAAGGGCAGGAAAAACGCAAACCCAAAATAGTTTACTCATTCCATGACAAGTGACTGAAACAATAAGCCTAAAACGTTTTAAAACTCTCTTAAAATACAAAGAATGACAGCAAAAGCAGCAATATCCACAGCGATGGCATAAAGTGTTGCAACAAAAACGGCAGCGCCAACATCGTCAACGGCAGACGGGGTAGTCACTCGGCTAGTACGGCAACCATACTTGTCTATGGCTAATACAAAAGTAACAAACAACAAATCGCCAACAAAAATTGAGTTAAAAGTTTGCCAAAGCATTTGATGCTAAAAAAAACAAAACCGAAAATACAAAAACCCCATCAACATTCGCAACACTTTTACGAGTTGCCAACTACCGTGTACAACGAATTTTTATTACTGAACTAGGTAAGCCCTGGCTTTTTATTTTATTTTTATTTTATTTAGAGCTTTCTGCCGGGGGCCGGGGGCCGGGGGCCGGGCGCCAAGTGGATGTCCTTGGTCACCCTTGCCCGGTGAATCGAGCAGAAAAATTTAATAGAGCCTGCACCTTCCGTTGCTCTTCACTGCTTGGCTTGGCAACACACGACCTATCCCAACTTCAAATGGGTTGTTAGCCAAACGGACGAAAGATAGTTTCGACAATAAAACAAGAGGATTAGGCTTTTAGAGACGTCAAATTTGAAATTCAATTCTCGGGGTTCTTCCGCTTTATTAAACTGCAGAAGATTTTAAATTCTCTCTAAGTTGCCTCCAGTTTTAGAATTAATGTCTGAGCATTAGTGACATTAAACCCAACTAAACTGGTTTATAACTCTAACTTTGAACTTTTTACTAAATACAAGTTTTTAACTAAAATACAACTTATGATTGTGCCAATGTTTTAGCTTTTTACTTTAAAAGGTCACATTTAAGTTTTAAATAAAATATATACTATTTTTGACTTAAAAAAATTATCAGGGACCGTAATCATTATAAGTAATATTTTAAAAATTACTTTGTAATGATTACTTATCGATTTTTAATTTTTTAAATCAAGATTAATAACACAGTGCGACAAAAAAAGAAAAATTGAAGGAACTTTTGAAGATACATAGTAGGAATTGTTCATAAGGTCGAGTATAGTATAAAACCGTGTTTGAAATTTTTCTAACACCCTCAAAATCTTGATTTATTTAGAAAAAACGGTTTTTCGGTACTTTTTTGCTCCTAAAAATTCCTAAGCGTGTAATTTTAAACCGATTTTAAAATTTTAGACGTTTTTTAATAGTTAAATGTTGTTGCTTTTGAAAAAAATAGATCTTTAATTTGATTTATACTTTAATTTATACTATACCTAATGAACAATTCCTACTAGGTCTCTTCAAAAGTACTCAAAAATAATGATTATTCGTGATTTTTATTTTTTTTGCTCAAAAATAATGTTTAACAATAGAAGAATAAATATAACAATTAAAAATTAAAAATCGTCAAGGATATTCATAGTGAATCCTTAAAAGATAAAAACGTGCTAGTCATGCTTGTTCTACATATGTTGATTCGAAGTGATTGATTTATTCATTTAACAATAAAGGAAAGCTAACTTCGAGCGGAGCCGAAGTTTATATGTATACCCTTGCAGTTAAAACCGGATATATATCGCAAACATCGGATATAGTTGGCCGATCCTTATGGGAATATATAATCCAATTTTATATAATCCAAATCTAAAAAAAATTCCCAAACTTCTATTTTCAAAAATACGAAAGTTGATATATTTTTACCATTTTACCATTTCCGATCGTTCAGTTATATGGCAGCTATAAGATATAGTCGGCCGATCCTAATGAAATTTGGTAGGTCGAATCAACTGACCAGAAATATAATCTGAACCAAGTTCCAGTTTTCTATTTTCAAAAACACGAAAGTTTGGTCATTTCCGATCGTTCAGTTATATGGCAGCTATAGGACATAGTCGGCCGATCCTTACGAAATTTGGCATGTCGTATTATTTTGCCAGAAATAGCTCTCACCTAAAATTTGAACCTAAAATTTCTAACTTTAAAAACACCAAAGTTATACCATTTCCGATCAATCAGTTATATGGCAGCTATAGGACATAGTCGGCCGATCCGGGCCGTTCCGACTTATATACTGCGTGCAAAAGAAAGAAGGGTGTGTGCAAAGTGTCAAGACGATAGCTTTCAAACTGAGAGACTAGTTCGTGTAGAAACAGACAGACGGACAGACAGACGGACAGACGGACATGCTCATATCAACTCAGGAGGTGATCTTGATCTAGAATATATATACTTTATGGGGTCGGAGATGTCTCCTTCACTGAGTTGCACACTTTTGACCAAAATTATAATACCCTCTGCAAGGGTATAAAAATAGCGACAATAATCATTATTTACGGTCCCTAAAAATTATTTTTTATTAAATTTTTATACATTTTTTGATCAAAGATCAATCTAGTTCTTTTATCCTTCCTTATTTTATTAATACACAGTTTATTTCACCTTGTTTTATACTGGCCTCTAAGTGAAAGTCAATATATTTTTGGTAAATGCTGGTATTCAGTATTATAAATGCTAGTAGAGAATTTAAGATGAAAAAGACTATTTGTTGTTCGAAACATTACTAAAAAGAGAAATAAAATTTTTACTAAAACTTCATGCTGCTTCCGGTTGCATATTTGATTAAAATATTTTGCGGTGCCGAATTTTGATTATTAATATAAAAAATCTTCTCGATTTTTAAAACAACAAACCTACAAAGAAAATTTAAAAAATTAAATAATAACAAAAAAATTTTTAAAATTTTTCGATTTTAGATGGCTTATAGATTTCTTTAATAATTTGCAATACACTTTCAATACACAATACAGTGTATTGCGGCAACAAATTTAAAGACAGAGTTTCAGAGTTTTGAAATGTAATATGTAATGTTGATTATAATCAATCAAACCATTATAAGATTATAATGGACATGTGCAAAGACCTATTTAATGGTTTTATTTAAAAATGGTTCGGGCATAAAATTACACAATTCGGGAAAAATTAGAGTACCGGGTATAAAAATTCTTCCATAGAAAAATTATTGGGAAAAAATCATAGAAGCACAAAAAAATTTATAAAATCAGGGATTTCAACTTGGACTGAAAATTCGCATTTCAACGGCTAGATGCGATTTTTTTAATTTTAGGGGGTATACACACATTTTAAAAATTATATGTACTAAAAACAATGATGGTCCAGCTGCCAAAAAACTCAAATGCACTGCCTACATAATTTAATATATGGCAAATCTTCATCAATTTTTTTTTCTTAAGTTTACCGCAGAAACAGTTGGTGATGGAAGCTAGTTTGTTTGTTCCGGACTTTGGTTTAGTGGATATACATAAGCCTTAAGATTATGATGCAGATGAAATTATTTGTTGAGGAAACAAAAAATTGGAAATTGATGGCCTGTGCTATAAGTGTTTATGCGACTCATCCACATACCCCAAAAACTAGTGGTGAAAGAAAGTGCTTTCACCGCAGAATATTGGCGAGGAAAATTCACTTTCTCTCAGCTCAATTAGATTTCGCATCCGCTCGTCAGTGGTTGGCAGATGGGGAAATCCCCGTAATTAAATGCAGCCACATGCTTAGCTGGCTATTCCAAATCCGGCCACATCCGCCAAAAGATTTTCCATCAGCATTCCACTCGAACTCAAGCCTTGTCCCACGTTCACATATATCAACGTTTTTGTTTAGCAAAAAATCGAAAAGAAAATGCTGACAGGCAAGCGAGTGGAAAAAGTTGTTCCAACGAGCATTGAAAATGCTTTTCAGCTGCCGCTTGGAAATCCCTTTTTAATTTTTCATGGTTGCCCCACTCAAAGTCAAAGCGAACAGGGACGGCAAGCAACTAAAGATGGAGGGTGTGCCATACAATGCATATGCATATGCTATACTGTGTAAGTCATACTTCAGCTCATGGAAAAAAAATTTCCCGGCGCCTTCTTCAGACTTTGCAGCCTGACTTTGCACAAGAGACTCATCTTTCATCTGGCGTCGCTCACGTCCAGCTGCCAAAATTCAAAATATGTTAAGTGTGAAAAATTGCTCGAGATGGGCTCTTGAAATTCAGATCTGCCCTCACTCCTAACTGACCCTCTAAAGTAGAACAAATATTTGCGTTGTAAATGGTTTTTTATATTAACTGCGTAAACCTTACCCTCAATCTCAGAAGTCTTTGCAGCTTATTTTTTTTTCGCTAGCCATCAAATTATTCTAAAATCGTCCTAACAAAGTTGTGAAAATATTGCCCAACTCCATCTAAGTGGCTTATTTAGAAAGCTGGTTCGGTCGGAAAAGTTCTCCCAGAAGTCTGACTCTAACTACAAGTCGTATGCATTATTCACGCAAATCAATTAAATCAACTAAAATTTATATGTAATATACAGTTGCAAAAAAAAAATAGCACCACTTCGGCACATTTTGATTTGGGCGAAAAAAAATGTTAAATATTAAATATTATTATATTGCTGAGTATTTCCGCGAATCAAAAACAGTCTCACTTATACTCAAATACCTTTTTATACCCGGTACTCGTAGAGTAATAGGGTATATTGTAGTCGTGCGAATTTATGTAACATAGAGAATAATTATCTCCGACTCCATAAAGTATATATATTCTTGATCAGAATCAAAAGCCGAGTTGATATAGCCATGACCGTCTGCCCGTCCGTCCGTATGACCGCGTGGATCTCAGAGACTATAAGAGATGGAGGTATAGGATTCGGCATGGCAATACTCACGCAGTTCAAGTATGTTTCAATTTTGACAACAGGGGTGCTATTTTTTTCGCAACTCTAAGTCAAAATAATGTGTGTTTGTGGGTTAGGGATTTAGGGAGCAAAACCATAAGTGATCATTAAAATATCTTGTCATTTAGGAGAAGCTCAATATTCAAATAAATTTCAAGTAATAAAAATTAGGAGAAAGGAAGAAAAAAGTAAGTAAGTATTTAAAGTACATGTAAGTTCGAATATGGTGTAATAAATCAATCATCTGTAATCAAGAATATTAATACATATTCAAAGTATTGTTAACGGCAATGATACAAATACTTTTGCGCGAGGTCTGAACAACCCATAAAGTTGAAACACCTTTTCTACTTCTAAGCCAATCTATTTTGTGGAAACACGCCCCTTTTCCCCTTTCTCTGTATTCTCTGTTCCACTTCCCTGGACAACACTCTCGTAAATAAAGCGCGAATTTTAAAGCTCGAATCTCATTAAAATGGTTTTATTGCCAAGGAAAATGACCGAGGAGGAAGAGGGTGCTGGGAGGGTGCTTCCATTTCGTTACACATTTATTTTTTACCCATCCATAGTTTCATTCCAATGGAGTCGGCGCTGCGGGTGTCAATTTCATTGC